AATCCTACCGGGAAATTTTGGCTTTATTGTACCGAGCCATCGTCTCTTGGCTGAGTCTCGCGCACACAAGATAACAAACACACATAGGTTTTGGATTTTGGATCACCCCCTCGCTACGGTCAGTCTCCAGCTCGCTCCAGCCCATGCAACCTGCAGCTCCTTCTCCTCCATCCTCCAGTGACGGGCCCGTCGGGGCGTTACTTGCACCGCCGCTGACGACGGGGTCACAATGCAAATTACTCAGCCGCCTATTAAATGTACAAAACAATGCGACAAAAAGTAACAAACCCAGCAACATCTAACGACGTCGTGCCATGATCGGCAGCCGCGGCGCGCTCCGCCCCGACGACGACGAGATGAGCAGGGGCATAAGTAAGTGCCGTGCCAATGCACGCTGCAACTGTTTATGCCTCGCTCCAGACCCTGTCAAAATAAAAGATCACGTTCGTTGAGGGTGTCCAAAAGCTGTTTTTAAAATTACCTTTTCCCAATAAAATAGGCAGTAGCTTTACCAAATTTGAATAGAATTTTCAACTTGACCATACTTCTTGAGTTTTTCACTCCGCGCGGGTAGATAACGGATAGAAAATAAGTAATTTGTAACAGCAAAGATTTGTCCTGGTATTTATTTGTCTTAAAATTTTGTTCACTAGGAAAATTTGCAAAGGGTTGAGGGAGGTTGCTTCGACCTCGACCCAAATATAAATGTAGTGACGGGTGACGGGGGCGGCCTGCTGCCCGCTGCTGGTGGTGGTAGAGTGGGAGGGGCCCCCAAAGGTCCAAAGGGGCTGCTGCGGCGACTCGCGACGGGCCAGGGCGGGGTGGGGGGGCGGGGCAGAGACGAAGAGGCCACGCGGAGGCCCAGCCGGCCGGGCCGCCCCTCCCCGCAGGGCCCGTGCCGCCCCCAGGCGAGACTGTGGAGCACGATCCTCCTATGAGCGGCGTGCCGGAGCGAGGCGTGGCGGGGCGTGTCAGTGCATGGCGGGGCGGGGCGGGGCGGCGCGGGGCGTTCACGCATACGACGTGTGTCATTTGCTAATGGCCAGCTCGAGCGCGCGCATTCTCGTCCCGACCCGACGCAATAAACAACGTTCGCTCAACATCGGGAGCGTCTGCTCTGCTGCCACCTCGTCTGAAATGTACTTGGCAACGATTACTGCCTTTCGTTACACCCATTGCCTCCCTCACTGATCGGCATCAAGTCGCTTTAACCGATTTCCTGGCTGATGACAGTAACGACAACGACCCTCCTACATGATATGGTGTTAACGACAGCTCCCGACAAACTCTTTCCTCGCACCGGGAAGCACCCAGCTCACCGTTGGACGATTTGAACCCCAATTGGACCAGTGATCCGGCCTGCATGTCATGTCGGTCCCACGACACACGACGGGCGTGCCCCCGCCTCAGCCTGGAGGGGGGGGGGGGGCAGTCCCGCCCCGTCCCGTCACCGGCCGGATCGGGACCAATGGTATTCATGGTATTCCTCATTGTGACGACAAATGGTGGCGTGTGGCGGGCCGCCCGCCCGACCCTGCGACCCCGCGACACAACGGCGCCTGTTTCACCACGGGGGGTCCCCGGGCGGGGTCCCTGGGGTGCGGGTGGCGAGGGGTCCCGGCGGTCCCGGCGACACGCGCCGCACTGTACTGGAGAAAGGACCCCGGCCGGCCGGGGCAGAGCGGCTGACCGACCGCCTGGCGCGACACCGTCACCGTGACACGTTTATTTTTTGTGACGAAATGTTGCTGAGCTCTCCGCCATCAAAACGTACATGCAGAGAGTGAGTGGCGCTCGCCTCACATCCCCGTGGCGCCGTGTCGCCCCCGGTGGCCGCCCATCCCATCGTCATTATGGTCCGCTGGACAGCGCGGCCGTCACGCCCCCCGGGCTGTCGTGGGCCCCGCGCGGGGTCACCGGGGGGCACCGCATCGCGCAGCACCAGCATGAGAGCCCCTCGCGCCGTCGTAACGAACCATTCAGGGGGTGCTCTAACGCCCACGCTCATATGAAAAAGGAAAAAAAGAAGAGTGAGCAGTGAAACTAATAAATTGTATAATTCAAATTGTTTCAATTAGCTTGTTCTCTAGATCCATGAACTTTTCTGGATACTGAGGCAGTACAGTTAAAGGAAAGAGGGCCACTTCACTCAAATTTGAATTATCTCCTTTCAAGATCCGTTATTCCGGAACGTTTTTTTTGTTTGTTTTTTTTTGTTTGTTGTTGTTGTTGTTGTTGTTGTTGTTGTTTTTTTTTTTTTTGAGGGGTGGTGAATACATCTTATATTCCTGGGCCTGGGAGAGTTTTTCGTCTTCAACAAGCAAGTCTATATTATTTTAAATTTGACAGTTTTTTTTTGTCGCAACTTTTCTACAGCGCTCCCTTTTTATCTCGAAGAAATATGACGCCCAGAAACTTTACGCGCGCGGGCTGCATTGCATATCGCGACCGGCCAGCTGTTGTGGTTTCAGCAGCGCCCAGGAGGCGTTGTTCTGTCATT